GGCTCCGCTCTTCGATTCCCAGTCCGGACACAGGCCCGGGCTGTGGGCGTCGCGTCCCCAGTAGGGGCGTGCACGAGGCAGCCAAGCGATGATTCTCTCTCATCACTGATGTTTCTATTTCTCTCTCCCTCTCCTTTATTCTCTGAAATCAATAAAAAAATATCTTTAAAAAAAATGATATGCACATGCACACAGATGTTTCAAATTAAATATAGTTTCATTTTAAACTTCTCCTTGGGGGGAAAAAAAAGAGATTTGCTCCTGAGTAGACTCACCTCCGTGTTCTAGAAAGACTCGGACGCATCTTTCCTTCCCTCTGGCTGCTGAGAAGTGGAGCAGGGTCCAGCCATTCGCATCCCGGCCATTCGGCGAATAGCCTTGTTCTAGCATCTTCCGGACGGTGTGGACATCCCCGGCGGCCACCGCGGCCTGGATCTGCAACTCTTCCTGGAGCTCAGGGTTCCTCCGACAGTGGTGGTGTAACATCCTAGCGGAGTCCACTGCTTACAAAGGATGCATTAGGTCACAGGGGTCAGCCTTTAAGGGGAGGCAGAGAACATGGCGTTTAGGATTCTGGGCTCCTGACAGAGGGGCCATGAAATGTTACGGAATTTCCCTTGGCTAAATCGCGTGCGCCTCAGTGATGCCAGTTCATAATGAACCAAATCTGTTATGACCAAGACATTCAGTGATTTCTGTAGGATGATGAAAGATGGCACAAAGAAAGCCGCCCGGCCGGCATGGCTCAGTGGTTGAGTGTTGACCTATGAACCAGGTCACGGTTCGATTCCCAGTCAGGGCACAGGCCCGAGTAGTGGGCTCGATCCCCAGGAGGGGGCGTGCAGGAGGCAGCCGATCCAGGATTCTCTCTCATCACTGATGTTTCCATCTCTCTCCCCCTCTCTCTTCCTCTCTGAGATCAATAAAAATGTATTTAAAGACATACAGAAACTTAAACTAACATTCTTTTAGAAGCCACTCCATCTGGGCTAATTTTCAGGAATAGATTAGACACATCTCCTAGTAGGCTTCCATTTCTAAAAATAAAAAAAAATTATGGGATAAAGTTCTTTAAAGACATTTTGGTCTGTTATGTAGGTTAGACATCTTGGGATGATCTTGTTACCAATAATAAGTTATCGTGTAAAACTTATTATAGCCCTGGCCGGTGTGGCTCAGTTGGTTGAGCGTCATCCCATGCACCAAAGGGTTGCAGGTTCGATTCCCGGTCAGGGCACCAGAAAAACAACAACTTCTCATTATAGATTGTACAAAGGTAAACTTAAGCCTAACTTAGGCCACATCATCACAGCCTAAGAGCATAATCAAATATCCTATGCTATTTTATACATGGAAAATGGTGTTACAAACTATTTTTTTAAATATATATTTTTATTGATTTCAGAGAGGAAGGGAGAGGGAGAGAGAGATTGAAACATCCATGATGAAAGAGAATCATTGATTGGCTGCCTCCTGCACAACCCCTACTTGGGATCGAGCCCACAACACGGGCATGTGCCCTGATTAGAATCAAACCTGGGACCCTTTTGTCCGCAGGCTGACGCTCTATCCACTGAGCCAAATCAGGGCGGTTATAACAAACTCTTAAGTATCACTACTAAGTAACGTCATTTAAAAATATCGGACTACTTCTACGGAGAGCTATTTCCTCAGAAAAATTAGGAAATGAGAAATTTCAAGACGATCTGTTTTCTTAATAAACATGATTTCCTCCCCATCTCTTCACTTAATTATTTTTCAACTGACACTAAAGTCAAGTCTCTCTAGTTTTAGAAAATGTAAAACCAGGAATCCTGTTCAAATAGGTTTTTGCCTACTATTAGCGTTTTTTGTTGTTGATGTTGTTGTTTTGTTAATCCTCACCCTGGGATCTTTTTTTTCCCAATTGATTTTCAGAGAGTGGAAGGGAGGAGGGAAGGGGAGAGAGAGAGAGAGAGAGCAAAACATTGATGTGAGAGAGACACATTGACTGGTTGCCTCCCACATGCGCACAGACTGGGGCCGGGAATCGAACTCGAGACCCTTTTGGCGCGTAGGCTGACGCTCTCACGACTGAGCCACATCGGCCAGGGCTACGATTACGGTTTTAAGATGTTGAAGACCCTCGGAAAGAATGAATGGGAGCTATGGACGGGTCAAAGCAACCATCTTTAACAGATTCTTTTTTTAATGGGATGATCTACCTTGGCCCTCGAATGAGGGCTACTCTGCAAGAAAAAAGGTCAAACACCATCAAACGAAAGCTGGGTTTTCTTGTAGCGAGTGCTGTGTTGAGTTTTCCATGAGCTGATTGGAGGGAGAGGAGTCAAAGCTAAAGGGGTTCCCCCCAACCAAAGTACGGGTGACCGGGAACCTCGAGTCGCTTACCTTCCGGAAGAAAGTCCCTTCTCCTGGGAGGGGGCCGCCTAGTAAGCATTGTGCACATACAGCATCGTGGGGCGGGTCTCAGAGAGCGTCCGGATGACGGATCAGCTTCCTTTACCTAAAAACAAATAACAACCGTGGGGAAAGTCCGAAAGATGACAGAGGATCACAGCGGCCCGCGGCGTCTACCATTCGATGGACTTACGCTTCAGCACCTTACGGAGCAGAGACAGAGGTCAGGCCAAGTCTCGCGAGAAAATGACCTTGAGACCTCCATTCATCTCCTCCCTGGTACAAAATCACTTATTTTTCAGGATTTTTTTTTTCCCCCAAAGAGGCAGGGTGTTTTTGGAAAAAGAATAAAGAAAATAATAAATCACACATTTGCTCTATTCAGAATATATTTTCAGACTTGCCTAATTTGAATTACTTTAAAAAAATCCTCAAGCCGAAACCGGTTTGGCTCAGTGGATAGAGCATCAGCCTGCGGACTGAAGGGTCCCAGGTTCGATTCCGGTCAAGGGCATGTACCTGGGTTGCGGGCACATCCCCAGTAGGAGATGTGCAGGAGGCAGCTGATCGATGTTTCTCTCTCATCGATGTTTCTAACTCTCTATTTCTCTCCCTTCCTCTCTGTAAAAAATCAATAAAATATATTTAAAAAAAAATCCTCAATCAAGGATATGTTTTATTAATTTTAGAGAGAGAGAGAGAGGAAGAGAGAGAGAGAAACATCAATGTGAGAGAGAAACATGGTTCAGTTGCCTCCCATTTGGCTCTGACTGGGGATTGAACCCACAACCTAGGTACATGCCGTGACCAGAAATCAAACCCGTAACCCTTCGATGCACAAGAGAAAGCTCCAATCAACTGAGGCACCCGGCTGGGCAATTTTTGTTGTTGTTGTTAATCCTCACCTGAGGGTATTTTTTCCTCCATTGATTTTCAGAGAGAGTGGAAGGGAGGGGGAAAGACGAGAGAGAGAGAGAGAGAGAGAGAGAGAGAGAGAGAGTGAGAGAGAGAGAGAGAGAGAAATATAGATGCAATAGAGACACATGGATTGGCTGCCTCCCACACTCGCCCCAACTGGGACCAGGGATCGAGCCTGCCACTGAGGTATGTGCCCTGGACCGGAACAGAACCTGGGACCCTTCAGTCCTTGGGGCTACCCTCTAACCACTGAGCCAAACTGGCCAGGGCCTGAATGACTTTTTAACGGACACCGTTAGTCACTTGTTTTTCCCCAAACAGGACTAAGAAAGATGAGAAAATGTGTGCACTCAATACAGCAGGTGGCCAGAGCCAAAACGGAATCCGTGACAAGGAAAAGGAGATCATGACTTTAAATGCTGGTTCCTCATACGTCCAAAAGGCAGCACGTGAGTCACTGTGAGGCTGTCATTCCTTTATGCACACACCCAAGTGAGTAAAAGATTAACAACAGTCTTGCCAGCTTCCTTATATGAACTCTGAAAAAATTCCCTCTGCAACTCAAAGAAAAGGGATCTTGCCTGGCGGGTGTGGCTCCGTGGTTGAGCATCGACCTATGAACCAGGAGGTCACAGTTCCATTCCCGGTCAGGGCACAGGCCCGGGTTTCGGGCTCCATCCCCAGTAGGGGGTGTGCAGGAGGCAGCCGATCCGTGATTCTCATCATGGATGTTTCTCTCTCTCTCTCTCTGTCCTCCCTTCTTCTCTGAAATCAATGAAAATATATTAAAAAAGGAAAAAAAAAGAAAAGGCTTTGTGTTAAAAGATGAAGTACCTAAATGGTTCCTCTCAACAAGAAAGAGACACGAACAACAATAACTTGTGATAACCCGAATGGGCACCTTCCATCAGAGAAGCGAAGGCCTCCTGAGCGCGCCCGCCGGGAACTGGGCCCGCTATCAGGCCCGGCCACGCCTGTGACCCCGGGTAGCACTCGCTTAGACAGTTCTGCCTACTTAACAGGAACCACGTGATTCTGGAAGTGGCCCATCACTTTCCCCTTTTCTGACAATACCAACCACTATCAATAATAACCGTAGGCTTAAACCCCAAAAGCACTCTGTACATGCAGGGATCTTCCCAGGAGTAACACATGGACTCACATCCCATGCACACACGGACACATACCATGCACACATGGACTCACACCCCATGCACACACGGACACACACACAATGCACAAACGGATACACATACCATGCACACACAGACTCACATACCACGCACACACGGACACACACACCATGCACACATGGACTCACATACCATACACACACACCATGCACACACGGACACATACCATGCACACACGGACTCACACCCCATACACACAATGCACACACAGATATACATACCATGCACACATGGACCCACATACCACGCACACATGGACACACACCATGCACACACGGACTCACATGCCATACACGAACACCATGCACACACGGGCACACATCCCATGCACACATGGACACACATCCCATGCACACACAGACTCACATCCCATGCACACACACACCATGCTCACACGGACTCACACATAATGCACAAACGGATACACATACCATGCACACACAGACTCACATACCACGCACACACGGACACACACCCCATGCACACATGGACTCACATACCATACACACACACCATGCACACACGGACACATACCATGCACACATGGACTCCCACACCATGCACACATGGACACACACAATGCACACATGGATACACATACCATGCACACACAGACACACATCCCATGCACACACACACTATGCACACACGGACACACATCCCATGCACACATGGACACACATACCATGCACACACAGACTCACATCCCATGCACACACGGACACACACACCATGCACACATGATCCCTGGCAGCTGCAGCCCTTAAATTATGAAGGACGGCGACTTATTACCAAAGGTCCTCACAGTCCAAAGCATCAAACAATGAATTTGATCTGGGTGCTGTTTTGTGGGGCCTTGCCCTTAGCAGAGCCCAGCTATGCACATGTATACAAATGAGGAAAACATAGAGACGATTGAACTTAAAGGGCAAAGGTGCCCATTGCAAACCGCAGAGGAAGTCCAGAGGTGAGAATGAAAAAAAAAAGTCTATTTCCTCTAAGGAGCGCAGGTCTGAAAATCTGACAGCTCATGGAAATCACCCATCGCATAAGGGAACACGGCCCGGGAGGCAAGTGTGTAAATAAGTAAATGTACAACGTGAATTGTTTTAAATCAATGATGACTCAGAATGACTAAAACTCTGAAGGTGCAATCTTCAGAAATTCCATTTCAGGTTTTACAGTTAGAAAAAAAGCCAAAAAAGCATACCAACAAGGAAGACTTTAGAATTATATACCAAATGAGCCACTTCCCTGATGTATCTTATTATTTTTTAAAATATATTTGTATTGATTTTAGAGAGGAAAGGAGAGGGAGAGAGAGAAACATCAATGATGAGAATCATTGATCAGCTGCCTCCTGCACGCCCCCTACTGGGGATCGAGCCTGTAACCCGGGCATGTGCCCTGACCGGGAATCGAACCATGACCTCCTGGTTTATAGGTCGACAGAACCACTGAGCCACACCGGCTGGGCCTGATGTATCTTTTTATAATATTTTGTTGCCCAATGTTAATACTATGTTTAAATTTGATGAATGCATCTTCTCTACTCTATATGGGGCCAAAAGATAACAATATAGGCCTCCAAACTTTTATGCTATTGACATTATTAAGAAAACTAAATATTTAGAAAAATATATGTTACCCATCTTAGCCCGGCCTGGGTGTAAGCTCAAGTGGTTGAAGTGTCCCGACCTATGACCCAAGAGGTCATGGTTTGATTCTCGGTCAGACACATGCCCGGGTAGCAGGCTGGATCGCATTCCAACGTGGGGTGTGCAGGAGGCAGCTAATCAATGATTCTCTCTGATCACTGATGTTTCTCTCTCTCTCTCTCCCCTCCTCTCTGAAATCAATAAAAATATATTAAAAAAAATAAATACAGAAATAAATGTTACCATCTAATTTCCACATGGACGGCCAAGTAAACTTCATTAAAGTTAAAATCAAAACGTCTTTCTTCATATAATTAAGAAAAAGTCTCTATCCATACAATGGAGTGCAGGAAATGAAAAAACGAAACGTATTTCAGACCTGCCTAAAGTTACATAACGGGCACCCAATTGGCCCACATGTCCCCAGTTCCCGTCGGCACACACGATTAGTCACTAATGGCTCTTTGCGTGCGGTTTTCACTGAAAAGTCCACACATTTTCTGATTAAGGGACACAAATCAGAGCTGCGCTTTCAGATTTCACACAAGCTGGAAACAAGATAACAGCTTGCTACTCAAAAAAAAAAAAAAAAGTAAGCATTTCTTTGCAGAGTAAACCGAGATCCAGGCTGCTAAGGAAATAAAATCAGCAACTCCAAGAATATGGCCTCTGAGGAAACACACACACACAAAAACCAAGCCACCAACGGCTCGCAAGTCCTAACAGAGAAGACGGGCACAGAAATACTACCAAGTCCAACATGGCCGAGATGTGTGTGGATGCGTTCTGCTGATGTGATCAAAAGACTGGAACCCCTAATCGAGTAGGAGTGTGATGTTAGTATCTCACTCAACATCGCATAGCGTTTATGTTCCCAAACAAGCAAGGTGTGTTCACATCTCCACCCCACTCCTGGGCCTCCATATAACACAAAGATTCATTTATTCATTTTCATTCCTCCCCTGAGAATATTTTTTCCATTCATTTTGAGAGAGACGGAAAGGGAGGGAGGAAGAGGGGGGGAGAGAAAGAGAGAGAGAGACATCAATGTGAGAGAGAATGATGGATCGGCTGCCTCCTGCACGGCCCCTACTGGGGGTCGAGCCCGAAATCCGGGCACGTGCCCTGACCGAGAATCGAACCCGTGACCTCCTGGTTCCTAGTTCAAAAACAAAAGAATATGCAAACCCTCAGAGCCCCTTAAAGGATCTCTAGCTAGGTCTTGGCAATTGGAAGAATCAAGAAAGACATTCCTTTTGGTGGAAGGCAGAAAGTCTAGATCAGGGGTGGGCAAACTTTTTGACTCGAGGGCCACAATGGGTTCTTAAACTGGACCGGAGGGCCGGAACAAAAGCATGGATGGAGTGTTTGTGTGAACTAATATAAATTCAAAGTAAACATCATTACATAAAAGGGTACGGTCTTTTTTTTTTTAGTTTTATTCATTTCAAACGGGCTGGATCCGGCCCACGGGCTGTAGTTTGCCCACGGCTGCTCTAGATGCTCAACCACGAAGCCACACCAGCCTGGCTAGAATTAGGTCTAAAGCGGGGGAAAAAATATTTAACAGGGAAGACCTGAATAGAAAACACATCATTCATTTTTACCTTAATTGGCTCAGTGGATAGAGCGTAGGCGGTTTGGCTCAGTGGATAGAGGGTTCGATTCGGGTCAAGGGCATGTACCTGGGTTGCGGGCACATCCCCCGTGGGAGATGTGCAGGAGGCAGCTGGTCGATGTTTCTCTCCCATCGATGTTTCTAACTGTCTATCTCTCTCCCTTCCTCTCTGTAAAAAATCAATAAAATATATTTAAAAACAAAAACAAAACAAAAAAAAAACATACTTCAAATATTTTCAGAAGTCCTCATTATTAGACATCTCTCTGGTGATTCGCACACTGAAATAATCAAAACGGCCTTGAACTTCACAGACTTCCGCCTGGCTTTCACTGAAACGAAGCGGACCCTATGTACACTCAGAAAGGCTGCCCTAAACGTTCACACGGGACAGTCCCTGGTAGACACTGACTCGAAATCCCATTCTGCAGCGAGCACTCCCCCGTGGGGTCTGCCTCCAGGTCTCAAGAACATGCAAACCAGGCCAGGGCTGGTGTGGCCCAGTGGCTAGAGAGTGTCGGCCTGTGGACTGAAGGGTCCCGGGTTCGATTCCGGTCAAGGGCGTGTACCTTGGTTGTGGGCTTGATCACGGGCCCTGCTCGGGGCAACCAATCGATGTGTCTCTCTCGTATCGATGTTTCTCTCTCCCCATCCCTTCTGTTCTCTTTAAAAACCAATGGGAAAATATCCTCGGGTGAGGATTAACAACAACAACAACAACAACAACAACAAAAGGGTATGGAAACCCTCAGAGCCCCTTAGAAGTATCTCTAGCTATGTCTTGGCAGTGGGGAGACTCAAGACAGACATCCCTTTCTTTTTGCGGAAGGCAGCGAGTCCAGTGGAACGGAGTAAATCAAAGATTTCCTGAGGACTTCTGCTATTTTAATTGCTTCGCGGCACCTACAACTCCCTGAGCAGTCTTGAGATATTAAAATTACTCTGAGATTAACAAGCCACTTTAGATTCCCGTGACTGGATGTTAGAAGAGTCATTCACTTGGCTAATTTCTGAATTGACGCTTGTCTGATTTCCCTGGTCACACCCCCTTCTTTAGGAACTACACGAATGTCCTAAACATTTAAGAGGCGCCAACAAAATCCAGCAGCACAAATGTGACGCCTGAATTAGATGCTTACATTTCTTTCCTTTTTTTTCTTCTCTTTTTTTGTTTTGTTTTGTTAATCCTCCAAGGATAAATATCCGAGGATATTTTTCTATTGATTTTTAGAGAGCGTGGAAGGGAGAGGGAGAGACAGAGAAACATTGATGTGAGAGAGACGCATCCATTGGTTGCCTCCCGCAGGCACCCCGACAAAGGCCGGGGATTGAGCCTGCAACACAGGTAAGTGCCCTTCACTGGAATCAAACCCGGGACCCTTCAGTCCTTAGGCCGACACTCTGTCCACTGGGCCAAACCGGCCAGGGCTAGATGCTTACACCTCAATCTAACAAATTACCCGTGAGGGTTTTGAATGGAGAAATCTCATTTACGAAGAGGGCAAAGAGAAAGCCAAAACATTCCTTTGTTTTAAAATTCTTGAATATCAAATGATAGCGAGCTAGTATGGAAAGTTTTATGAGTTCTAGAAAACCGGAGGTGTAACCAGTATTATTTTTACCTTTTTATAACAGTTTCAGAGCTCATCTACACATGTCCCACAGAAACACAAAGAAGCCTGAATCGTTCCCGATACATCAGACCTTCAGGGGCGCATTTTGCTTTCCTACAATCTACGCCGTTAAGGTACACCGACTCCCTTTTTACTAGGGAAAAACTCACATTATTTTCCAAAACTCATACATTTCCAGCCATCACCTTCCTCGACCAAACCCTGGTGGGTTAGGGAACGCCGGGGATTTTTATTCTGGTGGAGCTAGAAGGACGGCGATAGGAAGGAATCGGGGGGAAGCAGAAAACTGCGGTTTAATTAAAAAAAAAAAAAAAAAGAGCCATTCAGAATGAACAAGCAATCGAGGAAAATTCCTAGGAGAGGGAGGGGTGGGGGAGGGCTACAGAAAACTCTCTGAATCTCAGAGCAAGGAAAATGGTACCAGTGGTACCGTCACCAAAAGATAATGCAACACACAGAAACACCAGCCAGAGAGAAAGGGTGGGACAGACTCTGAGGGAGTGGAAAAGTTATGAAAATGCCCAGGAGCAGGACAAAAAGAGCAGCGTTTCTGGGTTTGTTTGTTTTTTGTGTTTTTTTGCGGTGAAAAGGGGGAGGGGGGTTCAGGAACCAGTTGCACCCCCCGAGGGAACCACCCTGAAACCAGAGCTATTGCCTAATGAGACAGGAGCCCGGAGATCAACAATGGGGGAGGGCAGGGGCCGGGCTGGCTGGTTACCTGCAACGGAGGATGCTACAGCTAGAAGCTCTCGGCTACTTCCCAGGTGGGTGGGCAGGCCTCTCTTGCTTTCCAGGCTCCGGGAGCCAAACACCAAACCTGGAAATCAGAAACCAGGGAGAGAGGTGAGGCGCGGTGCCCCAGGGGCCAGGAGCAGGGAGGGGGGGGCTTGGAGGAAGGGGAGCAGAGAAAGAGAGAGAGAGAGAGGGGTTGGTTCAGGGCAGGTAGGAAGATGCAGTGATTTTTTTCCCCCTCCCTCCCTCCCAGCCGCCCCCTTCGCTTCAAGGGAAGGTAACTGACTTTACCTGTCTCCTCAGCTGCTGCGGCGCTTCCTCCTCTCAGCCTCCTCCACACTCACCAACTTCTCCATTGAAGAAATGCCTCGGGCAGGGCCGGACACGGGGGTTCCGGAGCCTCCTCCGAGCCTCCCGGCCCCAGCCCGGCGAGCATCCACAGACGCTAGGCGGCGGTCCCGGCCGCGGGGCAGCCTCGGGGCAGGGGTGCAGGGAGGAAGTCCCGGCTCGGGGACGGGCGGGAAGGGGGGGGGGGGTCCCGGTCTGAAGGCTCCGAGCAGAGGGGCTGCCGCGGTCCGGGCCGGAGGCTCCCAGCTCCGAGGCGAGGACACGGGAGCTGTCGGGGCAGCGAGGTCTCGGCTTGGGTAGGGTCCTCGGTACCAGCCGCGGGGGCACCAGGCGGGGGGCTTTCAGGATGCACTTTGCACTGGGCCACCCCCGCCCCCTCCCTCCAGCACTTTGGGGTCACTGGGATGGGACCAAGCCTTCAGCAGCCAATCAGCGGCCGCCCTGGAGCCAGAGCCCGGAGCCGTAAACCAAGTCCGGGGTGGGTGGGGCTGGCGGGAGGAGGCGACTTGATTGGCTGGTCGCTTCCTCCTCTCCTCCTCATCCCTAGCGGCACCACCCCTTCGCCTGCCGTAAAGCCGACTGCGCATTCGCGACAGTCGGAGGAGGCGTGGCCATCGAAGCTGGGACTCGTCTGCGATTGGCTGCACTCACTCACCCCCCTCTAGGCTTCCCCGCTGTGGCTTCCAAAGCCCGCCCCTAGCGGAGGGACTCGAAGCGGTTGCTAGGAGACACTGCACGCCGAATAGCGCTTCTACGCATGCGGGAGGCGGGGCCCGCTCGGACGGTCTGTGCATTACGGTGGCCCGGAGGGGGCCGGCGGGCGCTGGCATGGCGGAGGCGGAGGGTCCCTGACAGGTAAACTGAGCTCGGCGGCGGGGGAGCCGTGTGTGTGGCCGACCGAGAGGCTGGCCCGAGGGTTGAAGGTTGGGGAGGCGGGAGTCCCCGGGGCGCCTTGTCCCACCGCCCCAGTGCCGGGTCCTGGGCTGGTCTCCATCCCTTGGGCCGCGGTAGCTGGAGGCTGAGCAGACCTCGCCCTGCGCGGAAGAGGGGACCTGTCTTTGTAATGATGGTGACGCTTCAAGGGCTTTTCCCCCCCAGGATACGGATCCCTGTGAAGGAAGGGGGAAGGAACGTGTGATGGACGCGTTTGCAAGCATGCATTCATTTAGCAGGTGGCCGGGCACCGTCCTAGGCGTTAGAGAAACAATAGTGAACAACCTACTTGTGTTCGCTTGACCCTTGGAGTTTGCTCTTTATTTTTTCTGTGAATTCTCACACGAGGATATTTTTTTTTTCTTTCCATTGATTTAGAGAGAGTGACATGGATGTGAGAGAGACACATCAAATGGTCACCTCCCTTATGCGCGTCCCCCCCCCCCCCCCAGGCCAATAGAGCCCTAAACCCAGGTGCAAGCCCTGGGCCGGAATCGAACCCGGGACCCTTTGGCCCGAAGGCCGGCGCTCTAGCCACTGAGCCGAACCGGCCAGGCCGAGTGTTGGGAGGTTTTTTGAGCACCGGTTCATTCTTCTCCAAGTAATAATCTGTTCAAATTTTCTATTTCTTCATGACCCAGTCTTGGTAGGTTATGTGTTTTCAGGATTTTATTTCTTCTAAGTTGTCTAGTTTGTTGCATAGAAATGTATATTCAAGCTTTTAAAACGAAAGGAAAGGCGGGAGAGCTTTCTAGGCAGAGGGAACAGCGTGTTAGCAAGAGCCAGAGTCAGGAGGGAACCTTTCACGTGGACTATTCAATAAAGGAGGATCAGCTTCCTCCTACTTGAGCTGCATAAAGGTTTTCACCGTAGAGGGCCTGTAGTTCCTCAAATCACTGAGCATCTGGTACTCTGCTGCGGTGGGGTAGGTAACCTTATTTTTTCAATAATTGAAAATCAAATCTTGGCCCAACTGGTGTGGCTCAGTGATTGAGCTTCGACCTATGAGCCAGGAGGTCGCGGTTCGATTTCTGGTCATGGGCACATGCCCGGGTTGCGGGCTCCATCCCCAGTGGGGGGCGTGCAGGAGGCAGCCGATGCATGATCCTCTCTCATCATTGATGTTTCTCTCTCTCTCTCCCGCTCCCTTCCTCTCTGAAATCAATAAAAAAAATTTTTAAAAAATCAAATCTTACTGTGTGCACAGAATTTAGAATTCAGTTCAGTAAAATCTGGGTCGTGCTGCTGGCAGGGGTGGGAGGAGGCAGGAAAGGGGAATGAATGAGGAAACCTTTCATTCTGAAGCAGCACTTAAAACGTAGAACCCTATTTTACCCACTAAGGGTAGAAAAGTCTTCTTTCTAGACGTTTTCCATTAAAACACAAAACAAAACTGTAGCATTGCATGATATAATATCAGCCTCATGTGGTCAGATTCCTTATCAGTAAAATCAAGTAGATTGGTCAATGCTCATTGAAGTTTAGTCCCCTGGCCAGTTCTTGGCACCCCCTCACCCCCCACTCACTGAATCAGATCTGCCTTAACCACATCATTTGAAGTCTTTTGTCTATGACTTAATTATCAGGCTAAAAAAAAAAAAAAAAGACCTGTAGCAGAGTTCTACAGAGGAGAGTTTATAATAAGTGGGCAATTTACAAAAGTGCGGCAGGTATTAAATATTCTCAGTGCTTCAATGGGAACCTGGAAACTTGTTAGAAATAAAAATGATTGGGCCCCAGCCCGGAACTACTGTGTCTGAAACCCCTGGGGAAAGGCCCACCCGCCCCCCCCCCCCTTCCTAGGGATTCTGAGACCCGTGAAACTTGAGCTCCATTGTTTTAAGAAAATGAGCCCCTGGGGCTAGGAACAGCCGGGCACCTGCACCTGCTCTAGGCCCCCCAAGGTAAGTAGAAGGAGCAGTTCCGGAAGCTTGAAAGCGTTGCCTTCCTTTCTCCCTCCCTCTCCCCTCCCTCACACCCCCCCCCCATCTCCTGTTGGAGCCTGTTGGGGTGGGGAGAAAGGTGACCAGCTTTGACGGCCCTGGTGTTCGGCCCTGGTGATTGGCCCTGGTGATCGACCCTGGTGATCGGCAGGGATGTCGGGAACTTCTGTGCTTTGGGTGTCTAGGCCTTCTCAGTGCTTAACCGCCCTCACGAGCCTCCCCTAACCTTGGCCCTGATACCCAGGCCTCCCTCACCTCCCTCAACTTTCTGTAGAGTCTAACCAGACTCATTTTATTTATTTATTTTTTAAGTAATATTTTTGTTGATTTCAGAGAGGAAGGGGGAAAGAGAGAGAGAGAGAGAGAGAGAGAGAGAGAGAGAGAAACATCAATGATGAGAGAGAATCATGAATTGGCTGCCCCCTGCACGCCCCCCCTACTTGGGGTCAAGCCTGCCACCCGGGCATGTGCCCTGACTGGGAATCGAACCGTGACCTCCTGGTTCCTAGGTCCACGCTCAACCGCTGACCCACACCGGCCGGGCTGGAGCACTAGAATATACTTTTAAAGTGTTTTATTTTTCCTATTGTAGGTTCTATGGAAGAAACACCTTAGAGATTCGTCGCATTTCCAAGGTTCCTATTTACCGTTTGGAATGGTCCCACTTCCTGTCTGGAAGACAGATGTGGGCAGTCGAAATGAAGGATATCTGGGAAGTTTTGGACCAGTTATATAAGAAGGTACTTGTGGGAGCCACACTGGAGAACGACACCCGGGATTACATCTGCTGTCTCCGCCCAGCGTTTCCAGATCACAGTGGCTCTGGGACCGCCTCCTCCCAGCGCGCAGTCACCCTCGGTGACCAGGGCAAGTGGCAGCCGCCCCCTGTCCATCCGCCCACCGTTCCTGTGGCGCCTGCGCCAGGGAAGAGAGGTGCCCGAGATTTAACGCTCCTTCGGCTGACGGTGATCCGGGTGATGGTGACCAGGATACTGACCGTGGAGACGGAGTTCCGAGCAAAGGAGAAGTACAGAGAGATCATTACAGTTCTTTTAAAGTCATCGGACCTTGATTCCCAATTGGTAAGCCATTTGTTGTCTATTTTTAGAGATCTAGATTTAAAAAAAAGGAAGTTTTAAAAGCATTCAACAGTAGTAGGTAAATTTATTTATTTTCCCACAGATCTGCATGTTCCAGGACTCGGATAAGTTATTGTCTCACGTGGCTGCCAAATGCCTCCGCGTGGCCTCTGTATTCCAGTTGAGGGAAAAGGTAAGTCCTCAGCTCACGTTATGATCCTTTCCAGGTTCTTTAAAATCGCTCTTTGGCACCCAGTTTCTCCCTTCCAAGAGTTGCATCCATAACATGATTGCTAACCTGATGACCTGACTTGCATTAAGCATTCGAGTCTTCGGTACGCGGTGGCTCATTACAAATTAGACTCTTAACCTGAAGGGGGGTTCGAGTCAGTGAGTCCAGAACTTAAGATTCTCAAAGGAGAAGGTGGGTTGCCTTCCGCCCCTCCAAGGAAGGGGTGAGGAACCCCTGCTGGAGATCAACCAAGACCGTCCTCCACGGGTTTACTCTAAGTCAGCGGTTCTCAACCTGCGGGTCGCGACCCCTTTGGGGGTCGAACGACCCTTTCACAGGGGTCGCCTAAGACCATCGGAAAACACATATGTAATTACATATTGTTTTTGTGACGAATCACTATGCTTTAATTTTGTTCAATTTATAACAATGAAATTGGGGGTCACCACAACATGAGGAACTGTATGAAAGGGTCGCGGCATCAGGAAGGTTGAGAACCACTGCTCTAAGTAAATCCTAAGGGCAGTCTCAGCAAAATGAAGAAAAGAATAAAGGCATCAGATTTTTCTCTTATCTCTGAATTCGTTACCAAACAAACCTCAGCACCTACTGACTTTCAGCTGTAAATGCTTGCTCCTTTCTGAAAATGACTTTTTTTTTTCCTGAATACAAAAAGGCAGGTATTTGCATTAGAAAATTTGGAGAAATGAGAAAACGTATAAAGAACAAAATAAAATGTACACCTTTCACCACCTGGAGAGAACCACTGCTGATATTTTCATGTTCCCTTTTGATCCTTTATACCTATGACATATTGAATTTTTTGGCTTAAAGAATATTAGGATATTTGTGTCCTATTTTTTCCTGTTTTTTTTTTTTTTGTGTGTGTGTGTCCTATTTTTAACAAATATTATCATACTTTCTTAAAACTTTGTTGCATAGAGTCGTATTGTGTGTAATAGGTGATTTGTAATTGTAAGGACAATATTAATATATATAAAAGCCCAATATGCAAATTTTCCCTGCGGAAGTTCAACCAGGAGACCAACTGGGAGACGGATCGCTTGCTATGACATGCACTGACCACCAGGGGGCGGCATGGAATGAAGGGAGGCCCTGGCCTCCCGGCAGCTGGAAGGCCCTCACCGGCCAGGCCTAGGGGCTCTACCCATGCATGACTTTCGTGCACCGGGCCTCTAGTTATATTATAACTTACCACTTTTTAAAATTTTCTGTCTTGTAGA